GACAGGAATGCGGAGGGAGTCGGGAGAAGAGGGCTGTGAGCATGCAGCCCCCCCCCCCCCAGCAGGGGCCTTCATGCCAGAATAAATGATATTGCTGCTGTATGTTGTGTGCCTCTTTATTTGGCTGAGCCACACGTGACCCCCACCACCCTACCTACATAGTTGCCCACACAGTGCAGACGGACACACACAGTAAGCTCCAGGACTTGGGGGGCCTTTGTTGATTGAGCTTGTGAGGCTGTCACTGTCTTGCCTCCATACAGAGAATGTGTCCCATTGTGCGTTGGGTAGACAGAGTGCAGTGTGGTCTTTTCTCCGTGGCCACACTGCTCCACTATCTGTATTATCCTTGGCTTCATGTGTAAACAACATCTCCCAATAGGGTGCCGATGGCTCTGCTCTAGAATTGCCGTTGTTATCATACACATTGGTCGTTTGTCGTTCATGTAAAAAAGCAATTTATTCAAAACACATGTCATCATTATTTGCAATCATTGGAAATCAAAAGCTATAAGTGAGTCACACAATGCTGAATTAATGACCCATCTCCATGATACGCCAAGCAGCTCTCCTTGTTGAAGCTCAGTTTGAGTGTAAATTGTAAATGTTCTTCTTGGGTTGACCTCGTTAACTCTGCAGGGTCGTTTCACAGCTAGGCCATGTGAGTAGAGCTCTCGAGGTTCTCAGTGTCTGACGGTCATGGATTCTAGTGTCAAGTTTCTGAACGAGGGTGATATACTGTAAGCCCCCCTCCCTCCCTTATACAGTCATGTATAAGACATATGTGGTTCAGAGACCATCTGTGGATACATGATACTGAATCCTGTGCCCTGTCAGGAAAGTAAGAATCCTTATCATCTCCAGTAATTTCCTCTGCATTGGCCCGGTTTGTCCAAGGAGAAAATTATTATTTCGTGCTGGCTGAACCAGGAAATGAGCTTGGGGAATGCATAGTGTCAATGACACCTGTTTTGTCTGGACCGTCTGCATTGCGAACCAGAATTGCTTCTCTATTTTTGGGCTGAATGGCCTGGATACATTGCCATGTCTGCCTACTGTGCTGCAGCTAGGCTAAAGAGCATTCTCCGCTGCTGTGATATTAGGGTCAGCAGAAGGCCCTATCTGATTACTTGGTGTATATCTGCACATCCCTGGTATAGTAGCTTCATGGAGATCCCTGCCAGACATTTACCCTATGAAGAGATGAAGTGTTTTTTCTGGTCTTTTATTTGACTGAATCTCATATAGTCGATTCAGTACTATTACAGAAGTGAAAAATACTTGGGTTAAGTGTTGCAGCTTTGCATGTATTAATCATTGGGACCGCACCTACTAAACCTGGTTGTTGAATAAGATGTGCTTGAGCAGGGAAATCTGCAAACTGTGTTGGATTCTGGCCATCCAGGACTTTAATTTGGGGAACCCTGGAGTAGAGGGTAAGCCAGTGCCCCTGGAGCAGTTGGGGTTAAGGGCCTTGCTCAAGGAGCCAAAGAAAATATGATTACTCCATCATGGGTTTTGAAGCCACAACCTTCTAGACATGGGCACGGATCCTTAACCTGCTGAGCTGCACTCTAACCTCTCCTGAGGACTGAGCGGATACTCCTCTGATGGAGGCCACATTCCTACAGATCTCATGCTCAGCCTGTTAATGGTTGTGAATCTGCTTTTCTGTCTCTGTTCACATAAAGCAATTAAGCAGGGCAGCACTCGGCCAGCCTGGGGTCTTGTTGGACAGCAGCCCCCCCCCTGGGGTCCAGGCTGGCTTTTAGGATCTGCTCTGGTTCAATCCAGGCTTCACAGCCTGGCACTGTAGGGATACAATTTGGGACGATGTCCAACTCTAAGAGCTTTAAAGGCTCCAGTTTGACCTGTCTGAGCCAGTACTTTTCTCCTTCCTGTTCCTTATGGTTTTGTATAAGACAGCTATTCACTTTAATAAGCCTGATTATTTGTTCGTGATTAATCATAAACACAGCTCAGCCTACTGTAAACAATTCTAGGGAAAAAATTAAAAATTACAAAAAAAAATAAAAATACACCCACATACACACACAAACTCAAAATACTCGCCGCCATTGTACCACTGAGGGAAGCAGGTCCTTAACGTTGGGGTTCAGAGTTTAGACTCTGAATGTCAGTTTAACAGGCAGTTGCTTCAGGACGCGCAGGGCAACTTCTGGAGGCTTTAGGCAATTATCCTCTTTGCTGTGCCATTCAACTCCTGCTGGAGATGAGAAGCACAGGGATCCAAGCTGCACTGCAGAGCTCACAGCATTATATTTCAATGCGCTTTTAAACAGTATTTACGGCAATGTCTCTCTGCCCTTTACCGTACAGGACAAAAGAGGCTGAACTGCACTCTTCACGCTCTGTGGGTAGCAGGGTTGTTATCAGTACTTGCAGAGTGCCCCCCCCAAGCATATGGGGAGGGGAGTGGAGCTGGGTAGGGGGCCGCTAGGGCTGCAGATGTACGTGCTGTTGAACTACATTGGGCTTCTCTGATTTGAGAGAAGGTTGTTAAAGCATGCCACTGCCTCCCCGTAGCTCTCTGCAGGCACCTCAGTGTCCCAGAGAGAGAGGGTACACCGGGCAAACTGTCCTATTAATAGAGCCCCCCCCCACCCCCAGTGACAGCAAGCAGGAAATCTGAGGGGAGGATTTAAGCAAGAGATAGTTCCGGATAATTAAATCCTCAGTGCGGGATCACAGCCAAGTGGATCCCAGCTGTTGAGGAGAGACGCCGAGTGGTAAACAGTCAGAGAAGCTGAGGGAGTTTGGGCCTGTTCCCGTCCCGCTTCGGGTCTCTGCACCATGCTCATTTTCCCCACTTCGTTTTCCCCATCTTTGATTGGATATCTCCTCTCTTTTTTTTAATTGAATGGCCTTCGGGCTGCATGGTATTTAACTACCACTTATAAAACTGTCAGCTTCCACAGTGTGTCTTTGTTCACATCCTGGTTTCAGCCTTTCGTCTCCCATTGAAGTCATTTAGCCGGAATTTCCCCCTTCTGACCACGTGGGGATGCAGTCAAATTTTACTGCAGGTTAATCTTTACTACTTGTGTACACTGTTGTTCTGTATACCACATGTGGCTGAATGAGTAGGCATTCCTATGCACTTGCTGTATGTGGCCAGTAAAACATCTTGAATCTTGTGCCTGTTACCATTTACTTTTATTGGATTACCTACTTGACAAAGAATCCAGTAAAACATTTATCATACTGAATGACCGTTTAAAGTAAATATAATGCGATGAACCATCTAAGAAAACAAATAAGACTGTAATTTATTACAGGCTATTGAAGTGGAAGCCATTGAGTCATGATTGAAGTGCTGGACATGTGATAGATATGATCTAGCCATGCTTGTAGTTTTGGAAGGACAAGGGTGTGCATTCAGCCTTATGATTCTCTCAAATGTTGTCTGGCAGATTGCGAGCGTGTTTTCATTAAGTACTTTAAATGCCAAAAGCCTGATGTCATGACTTCACTCATTATCTGAGGGGTCTGTTCAGATGCTTTACTGTGTGTTTCATTGGTGTTTTACCTTGACACCGGGCGATGGCTGAGCCCGTGCTGCTCTCAGTGAGTTTCTGAGCTCGGCTCCCTAGGCAAACATCAGTATTCCTCCACACGGCACAGGTCACTGCAGGCAGTTAATGTGACAGAAATGCATGCAATCTATAGTTATATCACGTCTTCTGGCCTATTGCTGGGTTTCCTCTCATACTGCAGCTTTTCTTTTCATATGGTTCTTTTCCAGACGTCTTTCACCATGCCACAGTGTATGATTATTACAGCTCCATTCACTTCCCATGAATCCCATCCTTCCAGAACTGGGTTCCCACTGACCTCCTGGTGGGATGTTCATATTTGTCATTGGACATTTTGTTTATTTCAGTATCTATATTGAGAGGGCATGCTGTGAGTCTTTAAAGGCCGTCTGTGTCTCAACACGCATCAGTGTGAGCCATTACTGTCGTCTGGGTAACTGTAGAAGTAGCAATGGCTGTTTCTTATTTAGTGTCACAAGCTGAATTGTTGTGAAATCAAAAACGATATGCAAATAATAAAATATGCATGTTAAAAAACAACATATACAGAACCTACATAAGTGGCAGGCTTTAGTATTTATCTTACCTGTTTTGCAGTCATTGCAGCCTTTAAAGGGTTCATTTTTTTTATGCAGTCTTCTTCATAAATCGTAAAATATTACTTCAGGATGGGCAATAAACTTTATCTGGCTTTCATGCAAAACATGTTCTCATCACTCAGACAACAATATCTGCACGCTCAAGCAACAACAGCGTTAAGCCAGTTTGGTGTGTTTATCATTGTCCTGTTGAATGACGGATCACTGCCCCATAATTCCCGTTTTGTCCAAAGAGGGCCCCCATTCTGACGAGCCAAAAAAGTAAACAGTGAACTTCCAGTTCACTACATTATGCCACCTCTGTTGCTTGAGCGTGCAGATATTGTTGTCTGAGTGATGAGAACATGTTTTGCATGAAAGCCAGATAGTTAAAGCTTTAGCTCATTACACCAGAACATCCCATGTCGCGCATCTGAGAGTTTCCACGTCCTGAAGACAGGCCTCCATGTCAATCCTCTTCAAACATGCCAGACCTCTTCATTCATACTGTACATGCCAGACCCGTGCATATTTTTATCCCGCACAGCATATGTGTGATGATACGTGTGAGCCAAAGCCCCAGCCATCTCTCTTTTCATCATCTCAGTGCCAAGATAACACCGAAGACGAATTTGCATGGAAATGGTAGTTGTGGCCATTGAAGGTGATTTCACTGGCTAAACAGATGTTCATGTACATTGTGTAGTAACAGTAAATCTGTGTCTCCTTGCTTCCTGGAGATAGCAAAATGTCCCTATAGATGTTTTTTAATGCTAATGTCACCTTTTGACCTGTTTTAATGGTTGAACCAGTTTAATTGGGCAGCACCAGGACTCATTAATCATTATTTTTTTCTGATTCTTCCTCCAGCATTTTCATGATGGTCGCAAGGCACAGCAGCACATTGAGAACTCCTGGAAACAGCTGGAAATGGTGGGTTTTACTATCCAGAAAACATCAGCTGTGGCATGAGATTGCAGAGTAATGAGAATGAAGCTGCAATGTCACCTTTATGGTCGTTTAAATGATTTATAGAGTTTTTTTTCCATGTTTCAGAGGTATTATTTTTGCATTAAACGTGTCAACTATTATTGTAAACCTTTATTTAATCAGTGTTAGAGGCAGTTTCAATTTCTTCCGAATTTTTAGCCAGCTAAAGCTAAGCTTTTATTTTAATTATTATTAATAGTAATAATTAAAATATTAGTAGTGATATATGGACATGGGTGCTTTGTGATTTTGAGTATACCCCTATGCGCCATTAAGACACATTAAGACATCATTCTCATTTTCAAGAGAAATATTAAATGCTGTTATTGTCTGAGGAGGAAGATGGATGACAGACTAAAGGGTGTTTTGTTGACCCAGACAAAGGAGTCTCTCATTTTTCTATCATTATTATTATCTCAGTTTTTACAGTATGCAAAAAAAATCCTGTTGTCAGTGTTACTCAGTAACAGTTGTTGAATTAAGGCTTCATATGCCACATGTCCTACTGATCCCGGATCATTTTTGTTCAGTTTAGCACTGTGACTCTGTCAGTTTGGTACATTCACCTGTCCTGCTCTCATTCCCCCAGAGTAAGCGGAGGTTTGAGAGGGATTGTAAGGAGGCTGACAGGGCCCAGCAGTACTTTGAGAAGATGGATGCAGACATCAATGTAACAAAGGCGGACGTGGAGAAGGTGAGCAGCTGCTATTTCAGTCTGACAGTCTCAGTCTTATACGTGCACACAGCTTTCAGCCTTGTGCTGTTGACAGTCTCAGTCTTATACGTGCACACAGCTTTCACTTCCTAGTTTCTCTACCCGCAAACTAGAATTGCACTGAACTTATTTAATTTCTTTACTTTCCATTCGCCCATATCAATTTGGGTGAAAATAGAGACCAGGTGACTTTCTCTGAACAGTATTACGTCACTGTGACCTGCTTCCTGGGCCTGTACCATTCTGGTTTTAAGCAGGGATCGAGCACACCAAGATATACTGTATGTGCTGCATCGCTGAAACACTTTACAGTGAGTGAATTTTCTCTGAAAATAGCTAAGCAACAAAGTAAGAAACAAGGGAGCTTATGAAGATTTAATAGTTCATCAGGGTTGGTTTTCTTTTGTACTTGTGCTTGTGAACAGACCCAGCGTTTCATCTGAGCTGGGCTTACTGGTCAAATAAGCCAGCTTTTGCCTCTGTTACCTTGCTTTGAAGTGGCATGCAGCAGTAGTGCATCCGTTTGGAGACTAATGTTGTCCTTCACATATAATAGCATTATATCTGGATTCAATTTCATTGTCGGCAGCATGGAAATACATCTTTGTTCCACAGTTCTCTGACTAGCATTAACACAAGTGCACATTGAAATTATATAAGGAATACAGTGTCAAATGGGCTGCTCAGTAAAACACTAAGTTTGAGTCATGCATTAATTACGCGTTCTGACGCCCCTTTAAAATGTATTATATTGACTGTGTGGAGAGTGGATGACTTATGTCATTACTATAGAAAACATCTGGAAGGATCACTCAAAATGTGTATTAAAGTTAAAATGAAGAATTTTTCCAAGCACATAACCTCTGCAGATTTTTACTTGGAAAGGGGGGACATGTAGATCTTTGGTGCGTTCCATTAATAGACACCCTGAGATTAGCCAGGGAGAGGTCAGAGGCTAGGGCGCCATAGCATTTCTCCTTTTGTATAATAAACCCGTTTGTGTGTGCGCTCAGCACCCACCCCTCCATATGCCTTCCCCCTGAGCCAGCCTAGCAAGCACGTGCTCCTAGAATTGCTAAAAACACCACGAGGCTGCACAATAGAATGCTTCTTCATTTTAGCAGTACCCTGAGAGCAGTTCTGACATGTTAAAGAGAACTATTGAGAGGTCATAATAGCATGTTTGTACAACATGAGTGCGAGTGCATAAGTGTTCTCCTGTGAGAAGAAAAGCAGCGTTTATCTGGCTGCGGAGAAGGATAGTAAAAGCAGCCCGCATTTCCACATAACGTTAACCACTGAAAGCTATTAGTCCTTTGAAACATTTTCCCAGTAAGATTGGCCACGTTCTCCCTGGGGACGCTCTCGTCACTCTGTGCCTCGTTGATGAGGAAAGCGACATGGGTGCCTCATTATCGCATTTGCATAGTTATAAATGTAGCTGCAGTATCCGCGACAGGTATCTGCTTCTCGTGGCATGCAGACATTGAAGTGGCACCCATGCAAACCATGACTGGGTTTGGCTGTTGTGATGTGCTTTTCACTTTGTGCTGATGACTTTTTAATTTCCAAACTAGCTCTTACCTTGGATGGATGGCAAGGCAAGATTATTCTTCCATGTAACCTCGTCAGATTTACACCATATTCAAATCATTTATCCTTCATTTACATCTTTACTGTTATCTTTATGAATACTTTCAACAGGCTTGTAAAATCATCAGCTTTTTTTTTATGGCATGGGTGTGAAAATTCAGTAGCTTTCTTGTAAAGACCCCTGCTGATTTTATTAGCTTCTTGGATTTATAATTACACCTATTGAAAATAATGAAGAGAATGCAGTATTAGTTATTTCAAGCCAGTAACCGGCATGCAGATCCTGAGTGCTTATATATGCCAGAGTTTGTCCAATGTGCACTTTGACTTCGTCATTGCAAGAGTTCCCTGTGGTCGTTAACTAAAGAGTCATGTGGTAGAGTGATTGTCTCGGGCCTGGCGGTCTGCCATGCTGTCGAGCCGCCATGCTGTCGAGCCGCCATGCTGTCGAGCCTCTGGGGAAAAGCCCGGGGTGCATGCCATACTTCGATTCCCGGTCCCAGCTAATAAGGTGAGGTTTATGGGCTATGAAGGCATCCAGTGTGAGTGTTATCGCTGACTTGGTTCTTGGATTTGCTGCTCATAATTAATGAGAATAACCTGCTGACGGTGAAATTCTTAAACCAAGTGTGTTATCTAAGTAAGCTGGAAGGCCTTGATTGTTGTGCACCCCGGAATGTGTGGGAGGGGTGGGGGTGTGGTAGGGGGAGTATTTAATCTGCACACTGGCAGATGACTCAAGATAAGAGAGCATGACTCCACTGCTAATCACTTAATTACTTAGGATGCCAAACCAAGGCATAGCAGCCTGGTCTCAACAGTTAGTGCAGATAAGGCGATATTATTAGCTATACTGCTTTTGTGTAGAAAGAGCAGTATAGGTAATATATAGGTAATAGTACTGGCATATTATCAGAACCTGGTAGTAATCCGGGTTCTTGAATCTACCAGACAAATAACTGGCACATGACAGACTTGTGGGTCATCTTCACTTCTATACTCTGCTTGTTTGAATTTTACTTAAAGAAAAATGTTCTGAGGGCAGAATGAAAAACGATTGGTTCAGAGAGATAACCAGTCAGATTGTAGAGGAGGTGGGACCAAGCAACTAGAGGCAGGACCAACCAATTAGATATCTTGGTACGACATCCTCTACAGTCTCTGAACCAGTCATTTTTTTCATTCTGCCCTCAGAACCTTTTTGTTTAAGTAAAGCTCCGATGAGCATCTACTCTTCACTATAGTTTGTTTACTTTCTCGTTGCTCCCTGCTCAGTTCCCATATTACCGGACCACCTGCTCAGCCCTGTTCGTTTCTCATACTCACACAGTCTGCTGTGGGGCATTGACATCTCGTGACAAGTGCGCAAGTCCCTATGAAAAATTGGGTAGAGAATGTAGATTATTGGGCCTTGTAATCAGAACAACAGTAGATAATCAGTATGCAGGTATCAGTGAGTTGTGTTGCTTGTTAAAGAGCTTTAAGTTATGTTTGCACAGAACATGTTTATAGGCAAATCGGTTTTCAGCACACAGTCCACAGAAGGGTTAGACACTGATGTGTAGGGTATGATTAGTGTAGTTTAAGGATGTCCCTCATCGGGGCACTGAAGCTAACTGCTCCCTCTGTTTGTTTTCTAACATGCTTTGAAGCGAAGTTCCCTCAAGGTAGGTTCCACAAAGTGTCTGTGTGTTTGTGGGGACCCGTTTCTCTGTTCAACGTGCACCCATAGTCACGCCAAAGCCAGTTTGCTACCTAGTCCAGCCATCTGTTTCAGCAGAACACGTTCCAGCAGGGCTCTCTTTCTGTTAAAGCACGTCCAGGGTCTATCGCAGTGCATTTTTTCCCTCCTTTTCATTCTTCCATTGTGTCTTCTCTGAGTCATTACTAAAGCATGGATACTTGTGTTGTCCAAATCACGTTATATCAGGACACATTTCTTCTTATTAATAGTTTTGTATAAATATTCCCCTGACTGATTCTGTATTGTATCCTCCAAAAATGGAAGAAGTTAAAAATGTTCCAAGGACTTTTATGAGCTGCAGGGTCTGAAGGCTAAATGTGTATTAACACCCAGAAAGTGCTGTGATTCATCTTCAACATGCGTCTCCGCGTGTCAGACAGGAAGCTTCCTGTCCTGTAGCGAGGTCTGCGTCTGCGTCTGCGTCTGCTGTCTGCTGTCTCCACCTTCCTGTGCTCGTTTGCATGCTGGCAGAATCGCAGCACTAACCGTCTACGTTGGCCTGACAGCTTGAAATCTCATGTTTACTTTGCCTCTAATTCATATCTCTACCAGTTTGTGTTGGTTTTTTTTTTTTTTTCTTGTTTCTTTACGATTTCTCAAAATGTCACTAGAGTAGAACATCACTTTTTTTTTTGTGGCTGCTCCCACTTGTCAGAACTTTGTTTAGCTTCACCATGAAATTTGTTATAGATGCTTGGTTACATGTTAAAATTAGGCCATAGTCCTAAAATACACTGGGAAGGTATTAAAAGCAGTTGGTTTCTGTTCTTTTTGTCTTTCTCCATTCTCAATCTCAAAGCGTCCCAATGCATGAATGAAATATATTCTGCTTTTTTGTGGCTGGGAGAGAAGTAGGTCATATTTCATCAGTGTGTAGCAATGGAATAATTGATTAATGTTTTCAGCTGACTTTCATTGTCACATTTTAACGGATTGTGTCTCTGTGATGTACATTTTAGGAAGAACTGTCTGACTTTCCTAATGAGGCTAGCTAATGAGTTTTCCCTAATAGTTATCTGTGATGAACGGCTACCCAACTCGCACTCTCCTTTCAAAAACAAGGCCGTGACTTGTGGGCAACAATGTTGTCTTGATTGCCAAGAATTTAATTCTCAGATTAGCATACTGAGGGAGGGCCAAGTCAACATTAGGACAGAGTCATGTGGCACCAGGGAATGTGGGGGAAGGATCTGAGCGGTGTGAATTCAGGGCAAAGAAAAAGAGGCGAAACAGACAGGGGACCCTATCCCGCAACAAAAACCACCTTTCTGCTATTGCTTTTCTGCCCTGTCTGGCTCCCAGATTACAAAGACAGGCATTGACATAAATACTGACTGGACACAAGGATCAGGTGGGATAATCGACACCCAACACTTTGAGTCACCTGAGTCACTCTACTGAGACACGATAGCCCCAGCACACCACTTCCTCCGCATGCTTTCTCAGAAAGCGATGTGCGGCAACACTTCCTTGTTTACCTCTGTACTTTCGCGATTTTGTCAGAAACAGGAAATAAAATGCTGTAGGTGCAGAGCATGCATATCGCCTTGTGGTCTGTTAGGCTTCACAGAGCCACTCATCTGGCAACATTCCTGTAGTTTTAATCAGTGAAATACAGTGTGTTTATAAACATCTTTTTCTAAATCATGCGGTCTGTAGTGGCTGTAGTATTAAAGATTGTGCCAGTCCCTGGTGTGCCCTCTCTCTCATTGTATCGGAGCACATTCCAGCACTTGCCATCTTCACTTCCTGTATACGTTGTTTCACTGACTGTTCCTTTAACTTCCCTCTCTGCACCGACATAATCTATCAGTGAGAGAGGAGCACGATTCAGCTTTGGCTGGGTTGCTGTACGTTTTCCCATTTCCCTTCTCTTTTTCCCCATAAAAAGGCAAGTGATTGCTGTCCAGCCAAATAACACTTTGATTGGATAGGGGAATTCTGGAAATATATGATAAATACTGTGTGTTCAGTCCATTCTCCCCGAAGCCTGATTTACCACTAATAA